AACTCCATTTCTCCTCCTCAGGGTCCCAGGCAGTCACTATTATACTCTCTCTCTCTTATTATTATTATTATTATAATTATTATTATTTTGGTGGGGTGATGGTGAAAGCAAATGAAGCCAATGAGACAGTCAGTCTTTCAGGGCATAAGTAAGAGCTTTGGAATCAGCGTGACCAGGGCTGTTCCGGCTTCACCATTTATAAGTCTGAACTGGAGTTTCACTCTTTTATTTGGGAGATACCCAGTGGTGCTCAGGGCTTACTCCTGCTTCTGGACTTTGGGATCAGTCCTGTTGTGCCCGGTGGAGTGCTGAGACTCAGCCACATGCATGTAAGGTAAACATCCTACTCTGCCTACTCTTGCTCTGGCCCCCTACTTTTTTGAAGACAATTTTATTCTGGTTTTGGGGCCACATCAGCAGTGCTCCGGGATTACTCTCCTGGCTCTGTGTTTAGGGATCTCTCCTGGAGGGCATAGGGGATCATACGACATGCCCGAAATCTAACCCACAGTGGCCACATGCAAGGAAAATGCATTACCTCACGTACTGTTGCTCAGTCCCCTCTTTAAGACTTGTTATCTCTTCTAGGACCTCATATAACAGGAATACTATAGAATCTGCCTTTTTTTTTCCCCATGGGAGGGACGTGACTGTCCTATTTCATTTAGATGATGTCATCAAGGGTCATCGACTTTATACCATGTTTTAAAGACTGAATAATACTTCATTACCAGTTCCTCTTTATCCACTCCAGTGTTGTTTTTAGATCTTAAATTTCTAATTGCTTCCGATCCTCATCTGTTCGCTAAATCTGTGGCCTGTGAAGGAGAAAGCAGTTGGCCAAGAGGCAGGTGGCCCCTCTGGATCTGAGGCGAGCATTCCTTTTTTTTTTCTTTAATATTTACAGTCTTTATTTTTTTTTTTTTTTTTTTTTTTTTTTTTTTTTTTTTTTTTTTTGGGGTGTACTGAGCTTTATTATCCTATTGGTGCATTATTATATCTTTTAGGGATTTTTTTCCATCAGAAAATACCTTTTTTTTCATTGTCCATCAGGATAAAAGACATAAATTGGGGCTGTCACCCTTCGGATAAGGGATTAGAGCTGTAGGTCTGACATGACTCAGGGGCCCAGAGCTGCTGGTGACAGGCTTGTCAACCATCCCCAGTGTGTCCTGTGGGGTTAGTCCCTGTTCCTTCAGCATTTTTTTATGCCGCTCGCGCAACTATTTCTTTTTTTTTTTTTTTTTTTTTTTTTTTTTTTTTTTTTTTGATTTATTTTTTGATTTTTTTGTGGGGGGGTCACACCCAGCGATGCACAGAGGTTGCTCCTGGCTTTGCACTCAGGAATTACCCCTGGCGGTGCTCAGGGGACCATATGGGATGCTGGGAATTGAACCCAGGTCGGCCACATGCAAGGCAAACTCCCTACCTGCTGTGCTATCACTCCAGCCCAGAGGTGAGCCTTCTTTCCTGCAAGCACACTGCTAAGAGCATGGGGACCCATGCTGACTTAGGGGCTGTAATGTGGCTTTGCTTCAGTGCCTTTAAAGTGACATGGAGAGCATCATGCTGAGTGAAGTGAGTAAGAGGGAGAGGGAAGGGATAAACAGAATGACTGCACTCATTTGTGGAATATAAAGAACATAATATGAGACTAATGCCCAAGGACAGTGAAAGCAAAGGCCAGGAGGACTGGTCTGTGGCTGGAAGCTTGCTATCAGTATGTGTGTGTGGGAAGGCAGTTAGGATAGGGAAGGGAGGAAGGGACTGCTATGAAAATGATAGTTGGAATTGATCATTCTGGACGAAAACTGAGTGCTGAAAGTAGGTAAAGGGATATACATGATAGGTAAAGGTAAAGGTAAAGGCCCTCCCGTTGTTCGTTGATTTGCTCGAGCGGGCCCAGTAACGTCTCCATTGGAGACTTTGTTGTTACTGTGTCTGGCATATCGAATACTCTCGGTAGCTTGCCGGGCTCTCCGAGAGGGGCGGAGGAATCGAACTCAGGTCGGCCATGTTGGCCGCTTGTAAGGCGAACGCCCTACCGCTGTGCTATCGCTCCAGCCCAGGTAAAGGCCCTCCCGTTGATCGTCGATCGTCGATTTGCTCGAGCGGGCCCAGTAACGTCTCCATTGGAGACCTTGTTGTTACTGTGTCTGGCATATTGAATACTCTCGGTAGCTTGCTGGGCTTTCCGAGAGGGGCGGAGGAATCGAACTCGGGTCGGCCATGTTGGCCGCTTGTAAGGCGAATGCCCTACAGCTGTGCTAACCTTTCAGATTTTAGATTTTTTTTTATTGGGTCACACCCAGCGATGCTCATGGGTTACTCATGGCTCTGCGCTCAGGAATTACTCCTGGTGGTACTTGGGGGAATCATATGGGATGATGGGGATTGAACCTGGGTTGGCCACATGCAAGGGAAACACCCTACCCGCTGTTCTATTGCTCCAGCCCCGGGATAACCTTTCAGTACCTGTTTTGCAAATCATAATGCCCAGAATGGGGTGGGGGTGGTAAGAGAGACAGAGAGAGAGAGACAGAGAAAGACAGAGAGAGACAAAGACAGAGAGACAAAGAGAGACAGAGACAGGAGGAAGGGAGAGAGAAAGAGAGTAACAGGAGGGAGGGAGAGAGACAGGAGGGAGAGAGAAAGAGAGAGAGAAAGAGATAGGAGGGAGGGAAAGAGAGAACGAGAGAGCCTGCCTCATTGGGGTGGGGGGTGGGGGTGAGGATGGGAGGGAAACTTGGGACATTGGTAGTAGGAAACATACACTGGTGAAGGGATGAGTGTTGGAACATTGTATGACTGAAACCCAATCCTTAACAACTTTATAACTGTGTATCTCATGGTGATTCAATACAAATAAATAATAAATAAATAAAGGGGCTGGAGCTTTCTCATCTTGTTTAGTGAGCTTCAAGTTGGTGGGCCCTCACAGGTGGCTTATGCGAAGCGTGGATGAGAGAGACAGTCACTTTCTCCTCACTGGCCTCGGCCATCCTGGGACCCACGGGAAAGGAATGATGAGGTCTGGCATGAACCCCTGTGTGGCATGGGCCAGAGCCCAACTAGCTCCACCACATGTAATGTCTGCTTGGTCTTCTCGTCAAGAGAGTCAATTCCCACCTCCTGATTTTTCCCATAGCTGCGGACTCACACAGGAATGAGGAATTGCTCTCTGTGGGAAAGGAAGGCCACTCCTAGGTCTTAACCCAGGGTTTCTAAGTTATTGTCTTTTCTCACAGAAAGGAATTTCAGAAGTAGGCAGCAGTGAAGTAAAAACAGATTTTATTTGGAGGCTTTTAGGTAGGGGAAGGAGGAAGAGAGAGAGAGAGAGAGAGAGAGAGAGAGAGAGAGAGAGAGAGAGAGAGAGAGAGAGAGAAAGGGAGAGAGAGGAGAGAGAGAAGGAGAGAGAGAGGGAGAGAGAGAGAGTGTGTGTGTGTTCAAGAGAGAATGCGGGCTTCTCCAAAGGTGGAGAGAGCCCCTGTACCTATCTCAAGAGGGGAGAGAGGTGTGGGCAACACATGTGCTCATGCACCACATGTGCTTGTCCATGCGGGCACACACAGCACATGGGCTCGGGTAGCGTTTGTGTATGTTTTTTTTTGTTCAAGGTGGCCTTTATAAGGTTTCTCCAACCACCCCCCACGTGGGGCATCTACCTAGGTAAAAGTATGTACTGGGGTGGTCGATGGTCCTTTTTGAAATTCCTTTGCCGACCTTTGTTCCTGCTGGAGCTTCTCCCCAGGTGGGGGTCCAGCCTTCTCTGGATCTGTTGGCACCAGGTGACAATCTTATGAGGCCCCTTAGCTCACAAGGTGGGTCCCGAGGGCCTCAGCACTAGGTGGGGTTATTGCTCCCTTGGAATCGCATAGCTGAGGAGTCCTTCCCTGTCTGACTGAGCACATTAAGTTCCTTCCCAGAGTGGGAGTTAGGCTGGGAGTAAGCAACGTGTCACTTCGATCTCCAGGCGAAATCCCCCAGCACATCCCTGAGGGCTTCTGTGTACGGTGGCATTTCTGCTCTGAGACAGAGGCACCCTCTGAAGCTACTGTCTGAGGTAGTGGCTCCCTGATGTCCCACTTTCCCTCCTCTGTAATTTCCAAGGATTTCCCCCCCGACAAGGATGCGTCTCCGTGTGGCTGTATCCTGGCTTTCAAACTATTCCCGATTTTGTTCAAGGCTCACAGTGGCATTTCTTGGGCAATTTATGAAGAAAATAGAAGGCTACTTGCCCCTTGCCAGTTTGCAAAACTACAGCATGTGGCTGCCGAAAGTGGGATGGGGGTGGGCGCGCAGAGGAGGACAATTAGCAGAAGCAGCTCTGTTTTGTCTGCCAGAAAAGACAACGAAAACAGCACATTGAGCTGCTGACACTTTGCACTTCCGTCAGAGTAGGCCATTGGAGCCCCTCCCCTGCCGTACCAGGCCAGGGGCAGGCAGTTTTGTGCTGGAGCCCCAATGCTTTGTGGTGCCCCTCTCTCTCTGGGCTCCTGAGCTCCCACAGGCTGCAGGCTGACCACTTCCAGGGCCCTGGGTAGGCCTTGGGGAGAGGGACATGTGCTGGGTTCCACATGGCTGTGTGCCTGCATGCACAGATGACAGTGCATCCATAAGTCTCTCGGGGGGACACATGGCCAGAACTGATACCTTCTCTCATGGTTGTGGTGCTGTGGTGCTCACAAAGTTCTCCATTCAACCCTCCCAGCAACGTTAGGAATCGGTTACATTCCATTTTTACTCCAAAGGACAGAGCCTTTGTTCTCATAAGTGATTTGCCGGGGATCACACAGGGAAGGGGTGGTCCAGAGGAGGCTGCTGGCACGAGATCGAAGCGTGTCCCAGTGCTTGGCTCCATCAGAATTCATCTCTTTCGGTAGTTTCCGTCATTTCCTGGCTTCTCATGTTAGTATGCATTAGACACACCTTTGCAAGATACTGCTGGATTTTTAACTATCTTCTTTTTCTTTTTTCTCTCTCTCATATTTAAAATGCAGAACTTCGAGAGAAATGGTAGACCAACAAAAAATGACCTAGGTAAGTCATTCTTTTTGCTTTTTACTATTTATTTTGGAGGGGTGGGAGCTTATTCAGCAGTGCTTGAGGCTTACTCCTGACGCTGTCCTCGGGGGTCACTCCTGGCAGTGATCAGGGGGCTGTCTGTGGTGTGGGGGATTGAATCCGCGTTGGTTGCAGACAGGGCAAGTACCTTCCTTGATGTACTCTGTCCTGTCCCTTATTCTTCTTTTTAAATGAAATGTCTGTACCCAGCATATTTCTTATAAACTGCATTTCAGTTTTCCTTTCTGATTTTATTTATGGGGCAAATATTCTCATGCAAATACTTTGGCTTCAGCCCAGCCCACTGGTTACCCTCCTGGAGACTCCAGGTGGGGTGGGGGGAGGGTGGTGTTTTCTGTGTTCACTTATTGGCACGACTTAGGTATGGAAGTAACAGCTAATCTGCTGGATTTAAATCCCTTGGCCATCATTTATTGAGTTTTCTTCAGGGCATAATGCCAGGCCAGGAGAGAGCTGTGGGGATGACACAGAGGAATAACACAAAGCTCCTATTATCCCGGGCTGCACTTAGTGGGAGAAAGCACAAGCCTTGGTGCCTGTGCTCTTCTCTAAGGACTTAGTTGCTCATTTTCGTTTTTGGCTGGGGGTGGGGGAGGGGTGCACATCCGGTGGTGCTTGGGGCTTACTCCTGGCTCAGAAATCACTCCTGGTGAGCTTGGGGGACCACATGGCGTGCCAGGGATTGAACCTGGGTGGGCTGCATGCAAGGCAACCCCCTTCCTGCTGTAATATTGCTCTCCTCTGCTCCTCTTCCCCTTTTGGTGTTTGGGCCACATCCAGCAGTCTCAGGGGTCACGTCTGGCTCTATACTCAGGGACCACGCCTGATGGTGCTCAGGGGACCGTATAGGATGCTGGGAAATGAACTAGGGCTGACTGTGTGCAAGGCAAGCCCCCTACCCACTGTACTTTGTCTGCAGTCTGTAGTTGCCCGTTTGTTGACCCCCAGAGAGTGCTTGCTCTTCAGGGCAGCTGTGCAGACTGCACCTTCTGCTTCTCTCAGGCTCATCTGGACGTCCCTGGTATGTTGGGATCTGGGGGTGGTTGGGGCCGTGACCCTCAAGGACCATCCAGTATGCATTGGCTCTGCAGGGCCAAAGAGCAGTCTTCTTAGAGAAGTTATGTGGATTCTTTTTTCCCTCCCTCCCCGTCTCTGCTGAAACTTTCCGTATGGCTCTCAGCCTCTCTTGCCCATATGGCAGCTTTCTCTCAGCTGCCAACCCAAGTTGGTTTGAGTAATTGTGTTTATTTAATTTAAAATATTTAATTAATTAATTTATTTTTTAATTAATGAGAGTTGATGGTTCTCTTTGTAGTAAATAATTATTTAATGAACTGATAACCATAGTCTGGAACATGGGCTTGAAAGTACCAAAGGGAAGTTTCCCTTGCACCAGTAAATCTCGGCGTTGTAAATGCAGTTGACAAATTGTAGTGATACTTAACTTGATATGGAGTCATCTGGAAAGGACCCAGTGGACTTAATTGGTCCCATTCCATAAGTCAGTTGGACTAGGGGTGGCTTTGGAGCTGCCCCAGGGGTTCTGACAATACTCAGGGCTGTGTGACCAGCTCGAAGAGCAGGGCAGCCTTTTGCTCTCTCTCAGGTCACTGCCCAATCACTAGTCACCCGTGGCAATTATTCAGTCCAAGTATAGCCTGTTATATGTGTGCATGTTCATATTTGTCCCAGCTGAAAGTCAATAGGCTGCTTGTTATTCAGCTTTTATCAGAACATCGCTGAAAAACACCTGCACGGTGGAATCCATTTCCAGGTAATCTCTGAGCACGGAAGGATTACTGGAGGTGTGCTCAGCAGCTGAAAAAATAAGAGCTTTCATTCCTTTCATCTTCAGAGAAGCAGCTTTTCTCCTGCAGGGACCCTTTTCTAACCGTCACGTAGATTCTGTTGCCTTTCCTTCCTGCTCTCGGCAGCTTCGGAATTGCAGCATCCTTTCTGTCATCCGGTCTCATTTCTTTATCTTCTCTTTATAGCCTGTCACACTCATCATTACTGTCAGGCACTTAGTGCATGACCAATTTCTTGCACAGTCCTGGAGGAGGAACGGTGATGATCTGTCTCAGATCTTGTCTAAGAATGTGAGTTGTGGCAGTGTTTACTGAAGGCAAATTGCAGGGAGTTATAGACATGCCACCAAAGTGATCTGGATGCACCGGGATTGTCTTACTTAGCTCCGTGGGCTGGGCAGAGGAGCTTAAGAGCAGGTGGTTAGGCAGCACAGAGAAGACAGCTGACTGACCTTGGGCACTAGACCCAGCCAGCCTGTGTGATTCAGTTTGGAAGGGCTTAGGATGCATATCAGACAGTATTTCTTAATGCTTATGTGGTGGAGAGCAAGATTTTAAGAACGTAAGCTGCTGCTAGCACCAGACTGCTAACCTGGGCCTAAGCAGTATGTAATAATCATGATAGTAATTATCACTTTTTTTTTTCTCAGAGATGGAGAAACTGGGTCTGTGCTTCATCCTTAACTTCGTTAGTGGAAACCTCCCATCCCCTTTTCCTTAAATTAAATTCCACATGCTGCTCTGGACTTGCATTGCTTCCTGATCTGGGAAGTTCTTCCACCTTTTCTCTTAGTGTTCCCCTCTTTCATCTGAAAAGGACCCACCCCTTGGGGTCTTTGATGGCTCCAGTTTGTCAGATGTTGATCTGCAGCCCCTGACCTCTGAGTTTACTATTTAAATTCTTTCTGATTGGATCTGGCTGACCCAGCCTCTGTCTTAAACTGACTCTTTCCTTCCTGCTTTTCTCAGAAATGCCTTGGCGACTCTCTGCTCACCCACTCAGGGATGCTGCGGAGATGAGGAGGCTGTGGGGTCTCTGAGAACCACTTTTTTTCTCTGCCACTCATCTGCTGCCTTCCATCTTGAGTCTGCAGAACACAGCTGCTTTTTGAAAGGGGAATGAAGGAAACACCTCCTCCCAGAAGCACGCCTTGCCCTGTCCTGCTCTCCTGTGCTCTTTGGTTTCCTGGCCTCTGCCGTGGCTTTGTGACCTTGTCCTCAGACACCCAACATGGGGCCCATGTTTCTTCCTATTTGTATCCCAGAACCTTCATTCTTGGAGAAGGAGCAGAGATGTTTGTGGGATGAAACATTGCGCTTAGCATGTGTGATAGCAGCTCGTGCACAAGGAGGGTGGCGATTTCTTGGGAGCTATGTTAAAAAAAGAAGAAATAAATTCAACTCTCTCAGTACACAAAACCCAAGTCTATGAAAAGGAGATGAATTGACGTCACTTCCTTCTTGCAAATCTCCTTCCCTGCGTGGAAGAACTGTGGTCTTTGTTAGATGAACAATGTGAGTCCTGCTGATTTGGTAGATGATGTGGCAGGAGTTTGCTTCTGCTGGTGAGTTCAGGATTCGCCCTTTAATGGATGTCTTTGTTCTTTAAAATGTTTTTAAATTGGGAATTATTTTGAACATAGAAAAGCCATTGACAGTAACATAACGAACATCCATGTATTTTACCATCTAACTTAAGAAATCTTTCTTTCTTTCTTTCTTTCTTTCTTTCTTTCTTTCTTTCTTTCTTTCTCTTTCTTTCTTTCCTTCTTTCCTTCTTTCTTTCTTTCTTTCTTTCTTTCTTTCTTTCTTTCTTTCTTTCTTTCTGCCTCCCTCCCTCCCTCCCTCCCTCCCTCCCTCCCTCCCTCCCTCCCTCCCTCTTTCTTTCTTTCTTTCTTTCTTTCTTTCTTTCTTTCTTTCTTTCTTTCTGTCTCCCTCCCTTCCTCCCTTCCTCCCTCCCTCCCTCCCTCTCTTTCTTTCTTTCTTTCTTTCTTTCTTTCTTTCTTTCTTTCTTTCTTTCTTCTACTGTATGTGGGTCACACCTGACTGTTCAATGGCTATTCTAGTCTCAGTGCTCAGGAGTGACAGCTTGTGGTTCTGAGGATTGAACTGTGGTTGGCTGTCTGGAAGGCAAGTGCTTTACCTTAGCTATCTCTCTGGTCCCAAAGCTCAGATTTTTAAAAATATTATCTTGATTTTAAAAAAATTCTCAGGGGTATGGTGCCACCAGCAGGTCAGTCTGTACCTGTGAGGTGAGTGCATCAGCAGCCTGATGGCAACGTCAAACTTCTAGATATCCCCAAATTGCTGCTGTGCCTTTGGCCAAACCCCAACAACTTGGGGCCAAGTTTACCAAGAAAGTAAATGGCCAGAAGTTAGGTATGTGGGAGACACACCCACAAACCACCTCCAGCTCAGCTATATAATTGGAGGCAAGACCTCTCTGGCTCCTAATCAAGCTGTTTAACAGCCATGATCCCAGAGACTCAGAAACAAATGTCGGAACCCAGTGGCTTTTGGCAGAGATGTGTCTGGTCCCCGCAGTAGGTTACTGGTGCCGGGCCACCCCAAGGGGGAAAGGGTGATGTCCCTCCACCTGCTCCCCCTGGGAGGCTCGGTGGCTACCATTCTCCAGAAGCCATAGGACAGTCAGGTTTGGGCCTGCAGTGATGAGACATGTGGGGCCTCATGGGATGGGGGTGGAGCCAGCCCTTTCCTCCCCACCCCAAAGAGACCCCGAGTCACCTCCCATGAACAGCCTCTCTGGCTCCTGATCAAGCTTCTTAAGGGCCATGATCCCAGAGACTCAGGAACAAATCTCAGAACCCAGCAGGTTTTGGCAGAAATCCCTCCAGATTTAATTGTTAAAATTTTGGAATTCCAAAATTGCATGGCCACTACTGCAGCCACTTGACATCATATGTTATTCATAACCAGCACTAGAAAAAAATTGTCTATGGTTGCCTTTTCAGCATATCTCAGTTTGGGGTAAAATCCCAAATAATAATGGTGGGTCTGGTGTCAAAATGTTGAATGTAATCAAAGTAGAGAGAGAGAGTAACGTGGAAATCATCTTCCCCACAGGTAGGGGGAGGGTGCATGATGGGAGGTATATTGGGGTTTTTGGTGGTGGAAAATGAGCACTGGTGAAGGGACGGGTGTTTCATCATTGTATGACCGAGACTTAAACCCAAAAGCTTTGTAACTGCTCTCACAGTGATTCAATAAATAAATTTATAAAAAGGAAAAAAATATTCTCCTGTAATATTTTATACTTTCACATTAAATATATCTTTGTATATTTGTAATATGTTTTGTACCTGTTTTTATGTACAATTATTTTTATATGTTTGCAGATCATTGATTTATGTTGTTACTTCTGTGTCTTATTCCAGCATTCCATTTTTCTAGGATTCATCTATGATATCCATTTGTATCATATGTAGCACTAGTTATTATAGATGATTCTAATTTGTATATCCTACTATATTCCAAGTGGTTATTTGGCTTACATCCATTTTTTTCTTTTTTGCACAGTTCAACTGGGCATATTTGTTATATATTCTTGAATATGCATATGAGAGTTTTTCTAACATGATTAACAGGAGTGGAGTTTCCAGGTCATTGAGTATGTGATCTTCATCTTTATTAAATTTTACAAAAAAAATTACTCTCAAATTGTTTCCTCCATTTTTAACAAACTGAATGTTTATAATTCTCCTTTTGTTTCTCAGCATATGTTGTTAATATTTCAAATGTTGTGGTCTGAAGATTACGTTTTAGTTGCTTTGTAAGAGGCCCATTTTGGTCTTTGTATTTAATTTAGAGTGAAGCAGCCAATTTAAAACAGAGATAGATATGTGGGGTGCTGGAATTGTGGAACTCTTACAAGAAAGTTGCTCTTCAGTGGGTTGTTCAGTATTTTCTTATATTTTTTTTTACTCAATTTTAATCGAAAAGTGCTCTGGGTTATTTCTAGACTCTAAGTGGCTCACTGTTGGATGCTCTTTGTTGGATGATTATTCGCATGAATGGAGAGGTAGCAGAAACTATGGGACTGAGTGGCAGAACTCTAATACATACTAGATTGAAGTTAAAAGCAACTTAGGGTGCTTTAATCAAGGTGTGACTGGGAAAGCCTTTTTGTGGGGAAAGGTCCCCACTTGTTGGCCGGAAACTGGGTGGGAAGCTACGACTTCTGTGACATCTGCCTTCTGCCAGCACCCTGGCAGAATGCTGACACAGTGGCTGTTTCTGCCTCTTTATTACTCACGCAGAAGTTGGGAATGCTACTGTGCTTCTCCAGCTAGGGGGCCGAGCGTTGGTCTCTGCTGGCTAGATACTCGGTTGAGTGCCTGCATGAGATGGGCATGATGTGCTAGTGAGGGTTTCTTGCCCGCTAGCTGTTGTAAACAAGCTGGCCATCTTGATGGGACTCTCCAGTGCTCTGGCAAACATGACCAGTATTGGAGGGCCTTTATCAACACTTCTTGCTGGAGCTTGGCTCTGTGAAACTGTGCCTGTTTCTTGGCCTTAACACCTCATCCTGGCCTGGTGCCTTATGGAGTAAGGATAGGGTAGGGTAGAGGTTATTGATTTATTTATTTACAAGCTCTGTGAATCCACGAACCATGATAGGATTTGGTGAGTCACTTTAAAGGGCCTCCAGAATTCCTGGAGCCATTCAGTAGTTTTCTGGGGACTCTGGAGAACAGTACCACAACAGGTATGACTTAAGTACCAGGTACTTAGGGCCTCACAGTTCTGGAGGCCTGAAGTCTAAGCTCATGGTGCTGGTGGCTTGGTTGTTTCTGAGTCCTGGTTCCTTGGCTTGTCCTTGTGTTTTGGAGACAATATTTTCCATCTGTGTGTCTCTGGGTCCATATTTCCTCTTTTGATGAGGACGCCAGCCATTATAGTAGGACCCCATTAATGACCTCGCTTTAATTTGTGACTTCTGTAAAGTGCTTTCCACATCAGGAAGCAGCACAGTGTGGGATTGCATTAATTGTTAAAAGCCACAATGAGAATTTTGGATGTTCAGCTTTTTGGGAGGGTGGCATCTAGACACTTTGCATGTTTACCGTTATTCTTTATGACAAATGCAGGAGCAAAATTTCAGTTTGTGACTGCAGATGTGGTTAACTATAGCATATTTACTTACTTGCTAATATCTAAGAAATAAGCTTTGCAGATCCAGTCTAAAAGTCTTTGTCACCGGGATTCTTTATGGAGTGATTTTTATTGCCTAAAGACTTGCAGGGGTTTTCCCCCACCTCCTTTTGTAAAAACTTGTTTTCAATATATTTTGGTTAGACAATAACTACTTGAAAGATTTAAAAAATACATTTTTTTGTTCTAGATTTAAAGGAAATTGTATTTGTTATCCAGAGTCAAAGTAATCCTTTTCATGCAAAGAGAGCCGACCAGTTGAAAAAAAACATCTTGAAGCAGGCTGTGGATCATACACAGGTATGGAGAAGGGGGCGTGAGAGCTACTAATGGTGTTTTTCATGATGCATTTCTTTTTTGTAGAGTTCAGTTTTATTTTGACAAGAATAGCTCTCTTGACTCATCTCACTTATTTAGCATTGATTATTTATAATTTAGGATGCTCTAGTTAATTCCGCATGTGCATAATATAATATACTAAATTATTACTCTTATTTACTTTTTAATTTAGGATAATGCTATCATTGTGCCAGGACCTTGTGGTTTTTGTCTCAAAATATGTTAAAAAAAGTAAAATATTGCTATCTAGACACAGGGCCTTCAGCAACCGAAAATGCTCAGATATCTTGAGAACAAGTTCTAATGCAGTTTTCATGTTGATGGAGTATTTTGAGTGACCTTAGTGGGGTACTTCCTCTACTAGTCTCTGAATCTTTTTAAAAGTTGTCTATTATTCATTGAATATTTGATTTGACATATTACATAATACCTGAAAGGATCATGGAAAGGAGAAATGACATGTATGGGATCATTGTAATCAAGTTTAAAAATAGGCAAGAATAGAATCTAAAGAATAGAATTAAAAACTGTCCTGGTGTAACTGGCTTTTGGGGACAGGAAGCTGCCACCTTCTCATGCTGTCATTTAGTTGCATTCTTCTCAGCCAAAATAATTCCTCAGGGCAGGGATATGGCTCAGCAGTAGAGTGCACGCCTCATTTAGTTAGTTCAGGGGTTCAATTACCGCACTGAAGAAACAAAAAAGAAAGTATTCCTCCAAGCCCACAGTGCCACAGTGCCATGGTTGTCAGACAGAAGTGCTTGTCTGTAGAGTAATGCTACTTCATGGTCTTGGCAGTGAGAACTCTTCAGCAGGATACGTGTGTGTGTTTGATGGATTGCCTTTTCTGGTGGTGGGTGCTGGGAAATGAAAGTTGGATATATCTGTTGAAAAATGAGCAGCCTTAATGATATTCAAGGCGAAGGTACTGCCGAGAATCAAGTTAATTGTGCTTAATCTTTAAAAAATTTTACACATAAATTAATTCTGTTAACGTTCCCCACATCCTTTCAAGGACAGGACCTTTGTGCATCGTATCTTATTTCTCGAGGAAGAAATAAAAATTACTTGTAATAGATGGGCTTTTATTTCATTATCTGTTTATTTTTGTGACTGAAGATAGGAGATAGGACAAACTTGCAGGCTATCGAATGTAGCCTGCCCACAGGGCAGAGTCTGGCAAACTCCCCGTGGCGTACCAAATATGCCAAATACCAGTAACAATGATGGGTCTTATTCTCCTAAATAGCCTTGAATATAATCTCAGGGCTAGGCTGAAAGAGACGTTACTGGGGCCTGCTCGAGGCAATCGATGAATAACAGGATGATGAAATGAAATGAAGATAGGAGTAGCCCAGTGAATTAAAAATTTTCATGATTTGGGGCTGGAGCGATAGCACAGTGGGTAGGGCATTTGCCATGCACGCGGCTACCCGGGTTTGATTCCCGGCGTCCCATATGGTCCCCTGAGCACTGCCAGGAGTAATTCGTGAGTTCAGGGCCAGGAGTAACCACTGTGCATTGCCAGGTGTGACCCCCCAATTTTTTTTTCCTTTGTTGGACCAGAGAAATAGCACAGGGGCTAAGACAGCTGTCCCTGTTCTGTTCTGGGAGTCCTCTGCAGTCCTCCAGGCATTTCCTGGTATGATTCCTGAGCACAGCGCAGGCAGTAACCCCTGAGCACAACAAGGAATCAACCAAGAATAAGATTGTTTTTTCTTTTTTTTTTTTGCTTTTTGGGTCACACCTAGTGATGCTCAGGGGTTATTCCTGGCTCTGCACTCAGGAATTATTCCTGGCAGTGCTTGGGGGACCATATGGGACGCCGGGGATTGAACCCAGGTTGGCCATGTGCAAGGCAAACGCCTTACCCACTGTGCTATGGCTTCGGCCCCTTAGATTGTTTTTCCTTTTGTTTGGAAATTCAACTTTTCAAGAGTTTATTCCACCTTTTCTGGAGATAGGTAGTAGTCTTACCTGCTGGCTTTACCTGCTTGGGTAGAGACGCATGTGGAGCAGCCCAGAGCAGGCTGTTGTGGGAAGGGGAACTGGTAGCCCGAGCTCTTCCTTAGCTGTGTTCAGACAGAATTTAGCTCAACTGGACCTTGACAGTTACCGCCAAACTGTGATGAGTGCTGGACGGTGCCTCACTGCTTTCTCAGGCAGGAATTCCTGTACTCTGAGTTCCTGCAGCTATCCTGCCTCTGAAATCACCTTCCATTGTGTAGGGCACCTTTGTGTGCTAGAAATTACTCCTATTCTTTAAATTTAATTTTAAATTTTGGGCACCATGATTTATACTGTTAATGATAGGCTTTCACGTGTACAGTGACTCCACACCTGACTCTCCACCAGGATGTCCCCGCAAACCCACCCTCCTCATCCCCGCCACCATGGCCATGGCAAGCTCAGCTCTGTAGACCAGTTCTCTGGTTCTGTTGCTTTTGACCATTTCTTATTTCCCCACAATTTATCTTTGAATTCCACATATGAGACCTCGGATTAGACTCTCTCCTTCTGACAGACTTCACTTAGACTATACATTCCAGATCCATCCATATAACAACAAACTGCAGGATTTTGTCTTATAGCTTGTCTTATAAGATTTTGTCTTATAGGTACATTGTGCATATGTACCCTAGTTTTTATTTTTTTGTTTTCGTTTTAATACAGTCATCTGTTCTTGGTCACTTGCGTTGTTTTCACATCTTAGCTTTTGTGAATAGTGATAAACTAAATAAAGAGACACCTCCACAAACCAGGAGAAAATATTTGCCCACTACTCATCTGACAGAAAGTTAATATCTAAGACGTGGAAAGCACTTGTAAAACTCAACAACAGCAACAAAAAACGGCTCCATAAAAAAAATGGGGAGAGGGGCTGGAGAGAGAATACAGTGTGTAGGGCACTTGTCTAGCATGTGGTCAACCTGGTGACCTCTAAGCGTAGAGCCAGGAGTAATTCCTGAGAACCATCAGAGTGGCCCCCAAGCGAAAATGCAAACAACCCACCCCCGGAAAACTGCCCAAAACAAAAGTGGAGAGAAAAGATGAACAGAAACTTCCTCATACAGATGGCCAGTAGGTATATGAAAAAAACATGGTCTGCATCATTTCTCATCAAGGAAATGCGAATCAGATGAACAGTGAGGTATCATCTTACTCCAGTGAGACTGGTGTACACACAAAGAACAAGATCCACCGGTGCTAGCATGGGTGTTGGGGACAAAGCATCCTCGTCCACTGTGGGTGGGTATGTTGATTTGTCAGGGCTTTTTGGAAAACAATATGGATACTCAGAAAAAGTAAGCATTTTGCTTTAGTACGAAAGCAAAATGTATGACCCAGGAATCCCACATCTTAATATCCACTTCAAGAACCCAAAAACCTGTTCTGAAAAGACATTTGTGGTTCTTTGCTCATTGCAACGTTATTCAGAATAGACAAAAAATCTAGATTCTCCTTTTAACTCCAGCTAAGAGTTGCTGCCATTAATGTGGATAGTTACATCCTTTGCTGTCCAGGGATATGAGTTAAGAATACCCCCATGTATGTAAGAATTAAGAAAATAAAATAGAAAATACTGGCAAAATTAAAAAAAAAGAATACCCCCATGCTTCCTCTACTTGTTATGATGAAGTTTATTATATGTACTTTTTGGCTTTATTTATTTTGCTTTCTGGGCCACACCTGGCTGTGCTCAGGGGTAACTCCTGGCTCTGCACTCAGGAATCATTCCTAACAGCCTCTGGGGACCATATGCGATGCTGGGATTGAACCCGGGTCAGCTGTGTGCAAGGAAAGAGACTTACCTGCTGTATTATCTCTCCAGCCTTGTACTTTTGATTTTATACTTAATTTATAGCATGTACTCAAAAGAAATGATTTTGCTCATGAGTGGAAAGTTTAAAAGATGTCCACCCTGTTTGTGCTTGGGGTGAACCTTCCTGTTGTAAACTAAGAAAATGCTGATTTTAGGAAACTGCACATAACTGTGTGGTTAAGATGCTATCCATTCATGTACATGCAACTCCACAGTGCTCGCACATGAAGCAAAGTAATGATGAGTTTGTGGTAATGCCCCATAAAAACAGACTCTTGGACCCCTGAGCTTGGTCCAAGGCTTCAGGTTCTTGTCTAGTCTAGACTCACTGACCTGATCAGCCAGTGTTACATAAAGACCTCCTGTTCTCCTGCCATAGATTGTCTCGGTGTGCTTGATTAAGTGAACTTCCATTACAACTTACTTCGATGGGTCCTAGACACTAACTCCCTACCTGTTGCCCTTAATTCTTCTTTAACAAGTAGTTTCCAGAGAACCATGGTGGCTGGACAGTGCTCCTACCTAGGGTTTGCCTTGAAATGTGAATAAGACATGCAGGCTTCCTAGGAAGCAGGATGGATGATAACATTTTCTTCTTTTTTTAAATCCCCTTCTTCCTCTTAGGAAAATGAGACCTGGAAGGGAGCAGCTAGGGCCCCGGGCACCATGGCCTCTGCAGATGTTAGCGCTCTGGTGCTAAAGCACTGGGTGCCTGAAATTGGCCCGAGGCTCTGGGGGAGGATGGGTGCAAGGTTCCCAGGGAGTTATTCTTAAGAATAGAGATTTTGTGTTGATTCAAGCATCTCTGGAATTGGGACTATATGGAAGGCAGGTGAGAGGTTGTAACTCTAGCAGAGCCGAGGGACCTCCAGCTTTTGTTTCCTTGGGCCAAGGCAGATACACTGGAGCTTGTCAGTGCCTCTTTCTAGAGTCCGGCTTTAATTTCCCATCATTCAGTTCCTTGCATTGTATTTGCTGGTAATGTCAGCCTTTCCCTTCCTTCCTTCCTTCCTTCCTTCCTTCCTTCCTTCCTTCCTTCCTTTCTTTTTTTTTTGTGGCTCCCAGGATCACTTGCTTTGCCGTGGTTCTGCGCTTGGGGATGCTCCTCTTTTTTTGTTGTTTTTTGTTCTTGTTTGTG